GTATGCGTGTGTGTATGTATGTATGTATGTGCACCTAGGCTGACTTTCTGCGGCTAAAGATGTGCATTTTTAATTTTGCGCATTACAGCCGAAAAACTGTTGGGCGGTGTCGTGTTTATGGTGGTCTATGGCATATTTCAGGTTCGAGCTCTCAAAAGGGCCATTCTGTGAGTTCCGTTCGAGCTAATCTTCGTCTTTGCATTTCTCCTTGTCTTCCTACAGCCGAAAATCATTTTTAAAGTTAAAGAAAAAGTATAAGAAAAAATGATGGAAAGCATGAAAAGAATTATTAAAGTAGGTAAGAAATGTCTCGGTCCATCAAGTCGTATACATTTCTTACCTTTACCACAATTGGACCTCGTCAGTGCGACGATTGTGGTAAAAGAGTTTTGTAAGATACTTTAGTAAGGTACTTTGTTTTCCCAAGGTTTTTGAAGATGTGAGTACCGGGACAAGGCGCTCTAACTGGGGCCTGAAGCCGTAGACCGGACTGTGACGTTTGGGACGTTTGACGGAACAGCCACTGGCTACCTTTTCTAGACCACTCTGTGCTTGTTAAGTTGCGCTTGCCCGGGACATCTCGGAGCATCCGAATGCGGCAGGAAGAGAAACACGAGATCATCAGTGAGCATGCCCAGGGGATCGTTTCCGCGGTATGTCAGCCTATGCTTCACACAGCTTCTGCCCATCGATAGCTCGTGCCACCAGCCGGTGACTTCCGATCGATCCTCGCAGTATTCGCTTAACATTGCTGCTGCGCTCTGCCTGGTACCATTGCTCCCGTTCGGTTGCACCAGAGATTAGAATGTTCCAACTACTACCGGCAGGAAGGTTACTTTTTGACTACACTGGCTTTATAAATCTAATACAAAGTTAACTCCAGCCGGATAGATGGGGCGTAATTCGTCCTCTCTCAGCGTGGAGTTAACCGTGTATCGATTTATTTTAAGCCTTCGCTGTACCTCGAGGCCGGTAGCATGGGAGACACTTGCCTTAAACGCAAGTATTCCCGAGGCTCCGTTGTCGAAGATGACAGACAGTGTCTGGACGCCAGTATTTTGTAGGTATATGAAATACATGTTTCAAAATTTTTAGCACCGAACGATTTGAAGACAAAGACCTGTATGTTGCGATGACGCCGTTTTTGTATGCCGAGAGAGACAGAAGGTATGCTCTGCTCATTCGTGCGACAGTGAAACCGTTATCCGGCTATCCAAAAGCCGATATGGCTGTGCTGCGCTCAAAACATCGGGGTTTTTTTGGAACTGACTTTTAAAATAGAGGAACATGAGAACTGAACTTACACTTTGTTTTTCCTCGTTAAACAGCTTCAGCGGAGGGGCCACCCGCAGCACTTCCGACCGGGCCTCGTATCCTCTGATTGAATTTCATTCCTCAGTTACTACTGTTTTGATACCTTTGCCTCTGCAAACCGCTTCGTCCGTTTATCTCCTCGAACATGTGTGGTGAACGGTGAAGGCGCTGCACCGCTGCAGTGTAAATTTTACAGATGGTTGAAATTGTTGAAAGAAAATCGACAGCATGAAATTAAACTTGCCGAAATAAGCGACGACAAGGCGTGGTGCGTCGGGACATGGTACGGCGAGCCAGTGTACTTCACACTTCGAGATCGTTGGTGGGATCCAACGCCACACGTAGGTTTTCTGTAGCGAATCGAATCTCTATCCGTTACCAGCTGCTGCTGCTTGGGCAGTGCGGCTATGCCGATTGTAGCATCCAGGTTGATCTAGAGTGCCAAAGTAAGGAAGGTGTATAAGCAGCGGAAAGTAGTAGAAAAAAACAATTGAGTTAAGACGTTTCGGTCCATTAAGTCATATGCGTCTTAGCTGAACACCACGACTGACCCTTGTCTGGACCTAATTCTTTTTAGCTCAACACCACGACTAGACCTAATTCTTTTTGGCACGTTGCACCGACCAGTGGAGCCCATGTCTTGCTAAGAGTGGATGGCTCCATTTCACACCAGTGTTCGGCTCTTTCGACGGTATGGGTGCTCCTGTGTGGCAGGGAGTGAAAATCGCCATCAACCTGTGTGTAAGTAACTGTCAGCGGGACATATCGGCAGCATTAGTGGTGGATGATTACTATTGCTACGTGCTGCCACTCGGCCTGCCTCTTGGTTTTTCCATAGAAAATTCGGTTTTGAATCTTACCACACTCATTCGTCACACACTTTTTCTGATTTTTTATAACTTCGTGCTAATTTCGACAAACTGAACACCACCCTGTTCACCCCTGGGACATTTGGTCTTAACCCATCGCCAGCCTTAAAAGCTGCAGTATTGTCTTGGCCATAAATCTCTAGACTTGGAAAACTAGAAAATTGACGCTGCCTCGGATTCCATCATGCACAAATATGTCGAAAGGTTTTATATGCAGTAACATTTCTGATCTGTTTTCTAAACACAGCTGCTAAGAAAATCAGTGCGTGCCAAAGCACCAGAAGGCGAATCTTATTGTTGCGTTAGCTGGTTTTTTCAGTAACTGTCGCTGGGCAAATGGTTTTAATTATTCACTAGCCTGGGCCTTTCTTTAAGATCTAAAAACCAACTCCAGCAGTGCCACCTGTACGACGCCTCCTTTTGGCTCTTCGGGAAATTCTTCTTTAAAGAAACAGTGCTTCAGAGCTTTAAGGTGGTCAGGAGGCTGCACTGATGATTCCCGCCCTTAACCAACCATGTCTCCCGCTGTTTGTGAATTACAGCTTAGGGATGAAACACAGGCATGCCTCCTTTCACATACACCTCTCTACATGACTTTTTCACATGATACACTGTTTCCATAAATATGCAACACTACAATCCTCTTGACCTTATTTCCCTTCCCCTTCTTTACGAACTTACTGGTTACCGGATTCCGGATGACCGCCGTCCTACGGACGGGCGATTCATAGTCATCTTGTATGGTA